CTTGAGCTCTCTTTTGTTCTCCACCGTTACCAGGCATCCAAAGAATGTTGGTTCATTCAGCCCTCTGATTTAGGGGAGACAGAAGTTATAGTCCCTTAGGCAGTTTCCCCAAAAGCTGGAATGTTGGATGTGCATTCTACTCTTCCCTTTCCCTCCCAAGAGGGTAGCTGTGAGCAGAGTGTTTTCTCCCGTTTGCACCAAGCACTGTCAGTTTGTGTCTGTGGTGGTGCAGAGTTTTGTATGCCATCTTGCTCCCTGGTGGGCTTTTTCAATATGCAGATTCATATCTTATTTCCAGACACTTGGTAGGGGGGTGTTTTAAATATTAGTTCTGAAGGATGCCTGGGTGGCTCAGTTGGTTAAACATCTGACTTTGGCTCAGGTCATGATCTTGCTCAGTTTGTGAGTTAGAGCCTCGCATTGGGCTCTGTGCTGACGGCTCGGAGCCTGGGGCCCCCTTCAGATTCTCTGTCTCCTCCTCTCTCTGCCCCTCCCATGCTCATGCCCTGTCTCTCTCTGTCTCTCAATAATAAATAATAATTTAAAAAATTAGTTCTGTTGCATTGTTTTTCTTCATCAGAGACTCCACTTATATGACTGTCTTTCCTTCTTTGTCTCTTTTTACATCTTACCATCTTTCTTATTCGTTTTACTACTTTCTTTACCTGATTTTCATTCTCTTGGTCCTTTGACAACTTATGCAACACGTTTTTGTTTGCATATATTTTGTACCTGGCTACTAGTAATTTTAGTCTTTGTCTCTGAGATAATTGTCTTTTCTTTTTTTCCTGAGTTACTCAACTCTTCCCATTTTTTCCTGAGTCTTTTACCCTCCTTCTCTCATCTTAGTTTTTGAGTTTCTGATTCAAAGATATTTTTCATATCCCTAAATGTTTCTTTGGGGCATATTTAAGTTTGGTGTATTTTTCTTGAAGTTTTTTTCTGTTCTTCCCTCATGCAGAGTGGAAAGAATTTATCATTAGAACCATAGTTGCATTTTTTAAAATTTTATTTTTAATAATAACATAGACTTCTAGGTTTTCTCTTCATTTTTGTAGTTAAGTGTGTAGTTCACAGTTTTACTGGTTCTGTGGTGCCCTCTTCTGTTTGTGTAGAATGATCTCCTTTTTGAGGAATAGGCAAAGAAGGACGTGTCTTATTCTAGCTGTTTCTAGCTAGTGTTTCAAAATCCCCATTATCTTGTTTTCTGCAGGACAGATGGGCTCAGTTTTTGTTTTTTTCCTTCTCTGCAGGGATTCAAAACTTGATCTTTTGATTTTGATCTCCTAGGATTTTGCTACACTTTGTTTTGTGCTGATGGCTTATTTTTCATTTTCTTTGTTATTGTGGCTTTATAAGCATCTTAGTCCTTTACTGGTAAGTTTACTAATGTAGGGTGGTGAAGTAGATAAAGGTAGTGATTCAGTTTGCTGTCTTTTGCTGGGGGTTTTGCATGTGAATTTTTAAAATACCAATGAATAATCTTTGATTTTGTATGCTGCCTATCTCAATTAATACATTCTAAGACCCAACAAGTTGGGGCTTGAGCTTGGTAAGATGGAATAGAGACACACATACAAATATTCACATTTCAGCACTGCTGATTTCTGCCGATGTAGTCATAGAACTTTAATTTACTCCTCTCCAAAAGAAAAAACAAAATTCTCTCCTGCACTTTGCAAGATTGTGCTTGGTAGTATTTATGTATGACTAAAAGTCATGAGTTATTTAGTTTATTTTCATTTTCTTTTAATGATTTATCGTATAATTTCACACATAACTAGGAAAAACAGAAGGTACAAAGGATGTAAATATCTAGAAAAACAAAAAATGTTTATTTAGGTATAACATAGTAAGTTTTGAAAGGTTATTTTAGAATGTCAAAGTAATCATAAGAAGTGACTTTGTGTATTTTGGTGGTGAGTCCCTTCAATTTCAGACGCAAAGCTTTTATTTCACTGTTTAAACTTAAAAACTAATACAGATTTATTTCAGAAAATAGAGAGCAGACACACACAGAAGAATATAAGACCCACCTAAAAAGCATTTTGTGGTGTATAAAAGACTGTATTCTTCCAGTCTGTTTTCTCTACACACATATTCATTTATATTTATACATGTTATTTTATAATATATAAAATTATATATATAGTATATATAATTATATAATAAAATTATGTTACATAAATATAAAATAAAAATTATAAATTTTTATAATTCCCTACTTATTC